CGAGAGGAAAGAGAGGGAGAGGGGGAGTGGGGGGGAGGGAGGGAGGAAGAGAGAAAGACAGAGACAGACAGAGGAACATACGGACATAGAGAAAGGGAGAGAGAGAAAGAGCGAGTAGATAGCCATCAAAGGAGGATGAAGTGAAAGTCTAATCCCTTACACACGCGCCATCAAACCCACCCAGCAATGCCTTAAAAAAAACTCTAAACATAACACAAACTAAATAAAACAAACACGAAAAAAATACAAGTACAAGACAGACATCTTCACCAATAACTAAAAACTGTCACAAATATCGATATTAAGAAAAGAGAGAGGGAACAGGAGGGTAAGGGTGAAGCACGAAGCCGAATCAGTGGACCGGAACCAGACGACAGAGATTTTAGCACAGTAAAAAAAAAAAAAGGAAAAAAAAACAGGATATTTCGCTATGGGTTTGTGAACTTCGGAAGACTTGGTTGTTGTTGATGATAAGAAGTTAGAATATAATTATGGAATGCTTCAGGATGTATTAATGATGGTGGTGAAGGTTATATTGATTAATAAAAATAATGGTAGAATTCTGATGAAGAGTATGTTTGGTAAACAAATTTATTTTCGGAGCATTCACAACAGGTTTTAGTTCTTGATAAATATGATTATGACTGACCTGAAACTTCGGTGATGTGTAGGAGATGACTAAGAGCATTTGAACGTTATTTTCAACGAGATCACACGTCGCCATAGAAATAAATACGAGGTCGACGCCCCTCACTCCATGATCAAGTTTAATGTCCTGTTTCGAGGCTCTGTTCCGAACCGACTTGGCTGCGTGGTTCGTACCGCTTCAAAGAGGTCAAGGTTACTGTCTATATTTTATTTTTCACATTTATTCACGGGGTTGTTTCTGTATGTAGAAGTGACTGGAAAATTATTTATATGGATATTTTCTTTTCTCTAATTCACCCGCACGCGCGCGCGCACACACACACACACACACACACACACACACACACACACACACACACACACACACACACACACACACACACACACACACACACACACACGC